TGATGTGTTTTCGTGAACAAATCTGTTGAACACTGATTAAAAATTAAGGGGAAAAACACAAATTCATGGAATGAGGTGACCTATTCACTCATGAGATATTTGTCTCAGAAAAATTCTAAGAAAACGGATATTAGAGATACAGGATCCATGTGCTTTATTGTGTTACAAAATTTTTTTGAAACTTAATTTCAAAGGATACATTACAAATAATAAAAAGTACACAGTTACAACTTGTTTGGAGTATAAGGTAACAATTAATACTGGCTTAAAAAGCATTAGTTGACATTGAAACTTTTAAAATCTTAAATGTTTAAAGCAATAAAGTGCTTTAAATTGCTACTATTCAGAGGCATAGGGTCACAAGTGGCCAAAATATAATTTTACAATGTGCACCAGTTTATGATTGAGAAAGAGCTCCTAGAGCAGTGAGTTCGCCATATAAAAAATTGCAGATTGTTTCTGGGTGACTGCTATGAAAGTCTGTTGTTTTCAAAACTCTGGGAATATATTCCCAATGTTGACCACCTCCCACCTCTCTCTCCTCACTTTCATTGTTCCATCAGTTCTTTGTTGTGCTACAACTTGATGGTGGTGTTTGCATTGTACCTCACTCAGTCTGAACTCACTCAGGAAGAATGTGAGCAAATGGCAGGCTAATTCCAAAATACACAACATGACACCTGTTCGGAAAGAGGCTATAAAGCAGGGGCATTCGGAGTGAACCACGATGTCCTAACCTAAGTGTGTTTTGGCCAATAGTTTGGGTCTGATGGGTTCTGACTCTGCATGCCTTTAAGAGGGTGCTGGTCTAGATGAAGCAGAGATTCCATTCCATCAAAGTTAGTGGGTTTTATAGAAAATACTTAGTCCATGTGATCTCCATGACTAATTTTGATTGTTGAAGTATTCAAAGAGAAGTTTTCCAGAGTATATTATGCCTTTTTGACTCTCCCCCAAAGGATTGCACAGCTGGAGAAAGAGTGAGAAGTCATTTGTTATGATGATACGGCAGTGATGGAAAGGTTTGAAGGACCAGCTGTACTTTTCCTGTCTGATAATTCTGTACATTCACTGACCACAAGCAAATTTGTCTCTTGTTTCAGAGCATTCATACTGGTTAACTGAATTCATAATATTCTGTCAGGGTATTCATAAAAAGACTGATATACGTATGTTCATTATATGGGTTTATGGTAATTAGAGTTGACCTCAGAATTTATTTCCAGTTAGCTGATCTCAAACAGAATGACAATAGGATCTCTATAATTAGTCTTTGCATTTTGGATGAGGGTGAAAGTCAGTCAAGATTGTTGGCTGAGGACAACGTTGGGCTCAGCTGTGAATCCTGCAGTTGAATGACCTTTTGACACTCACCATCAAATCTCTCAAATCAAGAAATATCCCTTGGACTACAGGGTGAGTTACCTTTGGAACAGGGACTCCAGGAGGTAGCACCTTCAGGAGATAAGGGGAGAAACGTTATTAAGAAATCGATTTATTTGTAAATGATGAGTTACATTTGTTTTCCTATTTATTAAATCTTATTATTTGTAAAAGGGTACTGAAGGACTTGACAACACAGGTGAGTTCAGATTAAGGACATCAGGAACTGAGTGAAATTGGATCGCGTTTTAACACTATTCAGTACGCTTAATCTCATATTCTTTCCTGTAATACCTGATCTCGTCTGTCAACTGAAGGTGAGAAAATCGAATGGAAACATTCTGTCCATCATTGGTATCAACACAAATCTGTTTTTGGTCACAATGCCACAGTTAAATTATTTATCTGCAACAATATGGTAAAATTCTCACAAGATCATTCAGAGGGATTTATTTTGGAGGTGGGGGAATTTAAAGACTCAATCTCTGTTTGCCAATCAGTGCTTTGAGCTGTGGCAGATGCTATCTTTTTACTTGTCTCACCAAAGTTTAAAAATGTCTGACAGATCAACTTGCTCAGTCTGATCTTTATTGTGCATGAGTGAACAGATTTGCAGTAAACATCACTAAATATGTTCAAATAGAATCCCTACAGTGTGGAAGCAGGTCATTGAGTCCATACTGACTCTCCAAAGAAAATCCCACCCAGACATCCACCTCCCTTACCCAATTCCAGTACCCCTGCATTTCCCATAGCTAATCCACCTAGCCTGCACATCCCAGGTCACTATGGGCAATTTAGCTTGGCCAATCCAACTAATTGGCACATCTTTGGACTGCAGGAGTAAACTGGAGCAGCCAGAGGAAACACATACAGACAGTTGCCCAAGCGTGGAATTGAACATGGGTTCAGAATGCTGTGAGAAATAGTGCCAGTGTAAATTTAACTGCACCCTATTAACCAGTGATCTAAAAAATAGTGTACAGATTAATTTGAACTTCTTAGCAATTGATATGACTACAATGACAACACTGAAAATCTCATTCTGCGCTGAAGGAGAGCACAAGCCCCTTAACTGGAATGAGGAAGGGAGGGGAGGTAATCATTTCATTGTCTGCACAGCAACCTTAAACTTGCATTTGAGCTCATTAAAAAGTCTTGGGCAATATTCCAGGCACACCTTCTACAGAGAATTTGAGTGCCTATCCCAAGTTTGTTTATTTTGAAAAAGTAGTCCTTGTTTTTGTCATCTGTCTGCTCCTTTCCCTCTACAAATGCAGTACTATTAACATTTCCCTGTCTGATGTAGTATAGGGTTGGCAACTGTCGAGAATTGTCTGAGTATCCTAAGGTGAAATCTTTAACTCCTGGACATTGCTGTGAATGACCTGCAAATTAACGGGGCATTAATAAGCTTTTTTTTTTTTGAAAACTCTGAAGACTTATTGATGATGTATTTTGGAGATAGGTTGTGGGGAGGAATTTATTCGACCAGGCAACTCCACCTTCAAACATGTATCAATGCTCTATTGTCTAATCAATTATCTTTTCTTATAGCTCCATTGCTCAACTTTTATAGAAGCCCAGAACCATATCCTGTGCCAAAAGCTTGAATATAGTTTTAAGAAGCCATTCTATTCTGAACTCCATTCTAAGATTAATACATTTCAGACAGACTCAACTCTGACGTGCTAACTGAACTGGACTTCAAAATCTGACCTATTTGCCTGCTGTGCTGTATTGGTTTTATGGACATGTAGAAGTATCTTAAATGTGAAAGGCCTGATTGTTTGCAAACAAAACATAACCAATTCTCCTTCAACTTGTGCAGTGAAACATTGATCACTAATAAATGTTTTGAATTAATTTTACACATCAAAGATCAAAGTGGAGCTAAGATGCTGTTCCTAGTCCCCAAATGTTCTTTCTATCTCCCTTTTCTTTCAGGTATTGAATTAGCATGCCCAGTTCTGAAATGGAGAGGGCTTAGAAATACACAGTATCTTCATTAATTCCTGAAAGAAACTAGAAAAACTAGTCAATTTTCACCTGTCGTCTTCCTTTCAGTGACAAACCCACTGTGTACTTCCAACATCTTTCAGTTTTCTTTCTTGAATCCATCGTTTGCCCTTTGTCTCATCTTCTCTATGAAGACACTTCCAGGACCTCTACTTTTTACAACAGCACAAAAGCAAAACCTCCTAGTTCTAGCTGTAATGTCTATACAACTCAGTTCTGTACCTACCACAGTTGGTTAGAAGACTCTTTTACTCATGCAATAATACAACAAAGGGGTAGAATTCCCTTGTACTGCAAATATATATGTGTACACACAATTTAATAAAATGGAACTTCTTGCTTTGCTCAAGAGCCAGCAATCCAAAGAATTTCAATTTTAAAAAAAAAATCTAACATGCATGTAAAAATCTGAAATTAATGGACCAGGGGCTGGAATGGAAGAGAAGAAAGAGTCACGTAGAGGGTTAAATTCTGTCAAACAACACATTGCCAATTTAATACATTCAAAAAGACTCAATCTTCAAACAAAGGAACCTTCCATTCTATTATCCAAATACACCTCTACTGTGTATCACTGCAAGTCACAGTATGTTCTTGTATCTTTAAAATTACAATTTACAATATCCCCTTGACTGCTATATGCCTATGCCTAAACACAATGCAACTGTAATCTATTTATCCTTATGGTGCTGATGATTTAGTGGGTGCTGTCCTTCTGAATCTAACCTTTGTGATGCTGGCAGATCTTCTAACTAAAAGATATCTTTAAGATTTAGTCAATCAAGGAATAGCTAGTTGGTCTGGAGAGTGGGTGTTATGGTATTACAAAACCTTTGTCATTTATTCTGACAGTAAATTTAAAAATGCATGGGATAAGTAAGAATTGAGGATAAGATTTGTTTTTGTGTTTAGATTGATGTTTGTTTCTTGAGTATGTGAAGTTTCCAGTTGAATTAACAAATAATCGTATTCTTGGAATTCATTTTGTTAAAATAGTAACAGCAACAACAGTCCATTTATACCAGCACATAATAGGACATCACAAGGTATTTCACTAAAGACGAAGGGTATTACAGAAAATTTAAAGAAGTAACTGAAGTCTTGTCCAATAGAATTTGAGGAAAGAGGCATTGGTTTAAGATAAGATTTCAAAGTCCTGAGCTACAATGATCAAAGGCAAGGAATGTGAAATAGTACTAACACCAATAAGAAGCTGACCTAACCTCCTGAGGACAACAGGTTATAGATAATCAGAATTTAATATGCGATAGGATGCAAGTGGTTACAATCTGTGATTTTTATAACATAATTGGGCTCTCAAAGAGGACTTAAAGGAGCTGACTTTAGAGGTAAGAAAGGCATGGATGAAAATTTCAGCAACATAAAACAGGTAACATTATGCAGAGGGCTATAGACTGCTTAAATTATAGAACCCCCACAGTGTGGGAGCAGCCCATTCGGCCCATACTGACTCTCCAAAGACTATCCCACTTAGACCAACCCCCCTTACCCTATCCCTGTATTTCCCATGGCTAATTCACCTCATCTGCACATCCTTGGACTGTGGGAGGAAACCAGAAACCTGAAGGAAACCCACGCAGACGCGGGGAGAATGTGCAATCTCCACACGGACAATCCCCCAAGGCTGGAATCGAACCCAGGTCCCTGGTGCTGTGAGGCAGCAGTGCTACCCCTAAGGATAGACTTCATATAGATTTTAAAGGTTAGGTGAAGGATCGACAGCCATAAATGGAATTTAAATTCCTCTTGGACAGTAGCACTGAAAAAATAGCAAAATGGCAACCTGTTTTACCTTCTACAAATTTCCTTTCATTGATGCTTTGCGGTGGACTGGAGCAAGAGTTAACTTGGTGAGTTCTGATTAACCAATTGGTCCCTAACAGATTGGTTGATGATGGTGGGACAGCTGTCATCCCATTAGTCTAGCTCAATTTAAATTCATGCCAAAGAGTTGAGAAGAAGAAAAACACATTTGGGTGTAGATGCTTTACAGGAACTGGAAGGTCAGCAATCCCTTTAGAGAACTTGATCGTATCAAGATTATTGGATCATATTGTGGCAGTGACTAGACAGCCAGTAAGAGCCCTAATGATGCTGCTTGGCCTACTGTGTTCATCCAGCTCTGCACCTTGTTGTCTAAGAGCCCTAAACTGCCTCTTTTTGAGATGGCCCACCACATTTGCCAATCAGACATTTAACAGGCCAGTGATAGACCTTGCCAGGATTCAAGGTCCCCGGAGAAGTCTCACAAGCCAAGAGCTCCTCGCCAGCAACTCCTGTGAATGGCAAAGTCAATGCGGAGGTGGTGATTGTTATCAGTACAACACACACTTCAAGGCCTAATATCATGGACAGACACAGGGCAAAGGCAATGATGGCAGTAAGGGCGTTCTAGTAGGGTCAGCAGCAAATGCATAAGTATCTCCACCTACTATTCTGCTCCACTACCCTTCCCGATGCTGGATTTCAAATTGAGCACTGCATGCCTTTGAACGGGCGACACCCCAAACACATCCATATGCTAGACCAGAAATCATGGACTGAGGTCCTTAATGGGGTGAAAATAGCCATGCAAGTTCTCATTTGACAGGGGGTGGTTAGACTGTCCATACATCTTCCAGTCATGGACTTAATGGGGATGCAGGCAGGAAAGGAGCGAAGTCTCTGCACATGACCCTTTTAAATGCTTCCCCCATCACCAAACTTGCCATGCGTGAAGGCACAAGATACTATCCACTGGGTGTTTATTTTGGCAAAAGGAAATACAACAAATACTTAAGAAAAATATTGAACTCTTTGGAATATGTTTAGAGGGGTTGTTTACATTCCAGTTTTTAGTTCCATAACTGAAAAGTTAATCTATCTTCTCTCAATGCTAATAAGGCTGCAGTATATATCCAGCATTTTCTGTTTCATTCCATATTTCCAGTGTTTATTTAACTGGCCCAGAGTTGTTAAGAGACTGCCCTCATCCAATAAACCATCAAACTCCTCCCTGTCCTCCTGGGACACAGAAATAACTTCACTTTAATGGTAAGCCTAAAATGTACACATTTCCTTATTCATTCTGCTTCAATCCTTTCTCTTAACTATGTTCACTATCCCACAAGATATCACTAACTGAGTGTGCATAAAAACCAGAAGGGTGATAGATAAGCGTGGGGAGATCTCCAATTGAGCTGATAAGTTTTCTGATCTGAGTATCTGTAAAATTTAAGAACACATTTCATTCACGTTACCAAACATTTTCTTTATCATCAAGGAAAAAAAAATCTGAACTATGGAAGTTTACAATTTTATAAATAATGAGGAACAGCAAACCCACCCCTCCTGTAGTGAACTGACAAGCCTTGACTGTTTAGAAATATATTTTGGGAGACCAGCAAGTGAATGAATGTCACATTTAAGAGATTAACAGAAGATAAAGATGGAGGTAGGAGGAATGTGGAAATTGCTGAGTTTAAATGGAATAAGTTCCATAGACCCGTATTCATGGATTGATGGGATATAAGGATTGTGGCACTTCTGGAAGGAGAGAATCTGTCTTCCTGATTGGAATTGATTGTATGAAGGCAAAGGACAAGGAAAGAAGAAAAACATGTAGCTTTCAGGTTAGCTGCAAGAAAAAACGAGGAGGTGATCCAATGACCCATGTTTGATTATCCAAACCCTTTTGCTTTGCAAATAAAGTATTCAATGTGCATGGGTATGAACCCACCAGGGACAACGGTTTGTAGCACTACAGCATATATGGTATGTACACACTCAGCTTATTTTACAACAGTCAGTGCTTTTAGCAAAATGAAAAACTGCAGAGTTTCTCTTATCGGCATTTCCCTTTTTTGTCTTTAATTTAGCTCACTCTCAGTAAACTCCTCTTTGATTGACTGTTTCCGAGTCTTGCAGTCTGGTACATCAAAACCAAAGTCTCCCCAGTCATCCCCCCGATTGGGAATGGTGATGGTATGACGCACTCTGAAGTGGACAGCTTCCATCACCCGTTGGCGCTGCAGTTCCCCACTTATTGTGCCGGTGTTGTTGCTTGACCTGATCAGCTGCTGCGAGCTATAGTCGTGTCCCTGTTTGAACTCCTGAAGCCCTCTCCAAATCAAAAGGCGGTACTGTTCTGGAATCTTTAGTGCTCCCAGATCCTAATGAAGAAGAAAAGGGTAACTTTAAATGAACAAGTAACAGAATGCACCCAAGTTTTTATTTTAAGTTAATTCTTGGGATACGATCGTCGATGGCAAGACATTGTTTACTGTCCTTGCTCTGAGAAGGTTGAAACAGGCCTTCGAAAATCTAAGAGTGATCTAGCACATTGAAAAAGTGACTCCTGCTGGAAAGTGCTTGTAATGGACACTGGATCAGGTTGTACTTCCCTAATGGTTGGATACCTCCCAGCATTCACTGTCTGAATTCACACAAGAAGAATGGCCACTTGAGCAACCTGTCAGAGGGTGGTTTGCACCTAAAGATCCTAGAAGGAACATTGTTAGAGATAAATTGGCTTCCCCAGAAGGGCTTCTTCCAGGTACTCATGGAGAAAACAGTGATGGTGAAAGGAGTTTAGGTAATTTTCATGGAACCACTTATCTTTCAAATTCCCATATGGCCAGTCAGATCCTGGATAACATTATCAGAAAGAAGGGGAGAAGACGGGAGAAAATAAAAATAAGACGTGTTAGGAGGAAAAGAAGGACCAAAGGTTATCCTGGTCTCACTTGAACTCACTGATCGTTTTGTTAGTAAACATAGTGTACAACTGAACAATACAG